GTCTCCCCCCCCATTTCTTTGGCTTTTTAAAGGAGATTCGTTGGAATGAAAGCAGGTTTTCATCGATGAAAGCTATAGAGAGCCCCACAACATTGGACGATCAGCAATGGCTAACCTATTGGATTCTCTACTCCTTCATTACCCTCTTTGAGCTCTCATGTTGGAAGGTCCTACAATGGTAACCCACTAGTACAAAAAATGAATTAACTATATTTACTTCATTGAATTTTTTTCAAAAAATTATTTTATTGTATTACAACACTACGCAATGTGATTTTTATGTACCAGATGATTAAAATTCATCTAATTTGTCTTGAAAAAAAGTCAAACTGTACAAGTACAACACAAGGTTTCATGTATTCCTATATTCAGGTTACCATTCTGGGCACTCATCAAGCTCCTGCTCTGTATGTGGTTGGTTCTGCCAAGTTTCAATGGAGCAGCTTATATATATGAGAACTATATAAGGAGACACGTGAGAATTGGGGGGCAGGTAAGCTCGAAGTACTCAGAGACACATAGGAAGGCCATGCAGATGATGAGCCTTGATGCGAGGAAATCGGTGGAGGACTACATAGACACGCATGGACCAGAGGCGTTCGACAAAGTGATCACAGCGGTAAAGATTTTGATAAGATCCAGCGACTCTTACATTATTAGGGGTGTAATTGTGAAAGGCTTATGGTCTTTGACATGTTTTGCAGGCTCTAAAAGAGGCGAAAGAGAACATGAAGGAGGGTAAAAGTAGAATTTAGACCTTTGGTTCAAGAATGAACCCCTGGAAATGTATAGTTGGGAGAGCTTGAGAGAAATGTGGGAATGGTTTATGAGAGTTTGTGTAAAAATTAGAATGAATGGAATGTAAGGCAATCGGTGATTCAACAAACATATTATTGCAAAAGCTATTTCGTGTTTAGAAAAGAATTGAAGAATTAACTCACACTGAGATAATCGAACTGTAGAATTGTTGTTGGACGTAAAGATATGCAGCCACGCATATTGCTGCAGTTAATAACTGCAAGTGGTTGAGCGTGATGACCGACTTTTTGAATTAGATTGATCGATCTTGAGGATGGCCTCAAAATTCTGGAAGCATTTGAGTGCTCTTGCCTGAAAGTGACACAAATTGTCCCAAATGTAAGCGCGTGCAAGTTGCAAAGAAAGTTAAAGAATTTTTCGATGTATTAAAACATGCAACCACGACCAAAATAAAGGAGCGTAAATTCTAATGAGCAGAGCATCACTGTAGAAGACTTTTACAGGTAAACCTTTAAAAATTCAACTTATTATCATCCTATATCTTATTCTCTTCATGGGTGTTTTACTGGACAGCCTGCTTCTATATTAGTAACTCAGGTAATCAAGCAACTAAGCATACAAATAGGTAACTAGAGCTTAAATTTTTAAATTTACGTGCACAAACAGCACGGGGGTAGGGGAGGGGGAGGTTCCGTACCTTCCAACGTCTAGCACGAGCAAGAATGTGATGGATTTCTTCAAGCCTGGAGATTATTTGCCTGAAAATTGGTCTTCTAGAGGGAATCTCACTCCAACACTCTTCAATTAACCTGACGAGAAGGAATAAGTGAATAACTGGTTTGGCAAGTGATTCAAAAACTCTAACATTAGAAGTGCTAATGGCAGAGCTAAAATAAATATTTGTCGTAATTTCCTCTTTCATATGGTCTCAAGAAACGTGCATAGAATTATCTAGTAATTTAGCAGTTTGTCTACCATAGACAGCAGACACTAGTTTCAAAACAACCTCACTTCTTGTTTGACTGTCCGAAACAAAAGGGAGGAATAAGAGGGTAAGGATGGATATGCGGAAAAACATTTTTGAGTCTAAAAGTTATACTTAAACTGCCAATGATCTTCCAATATAAAATCACAGTAAAATGAAATGCAAAAACAAAAAGGAAACAAAATATTAATGGCTTACTCTCTGAGTCCATGAGCATAAAGTTTCACTGGGGCCCTAAAGGGTGGACGTTCATTCGCAGCATACACTTTGGCAACTTCAATGTCTGGCTTTGTTGGGTAAGGAGGACAGCCTTCAATCATCTGTAAATATATATGGAAAGTTAAGGGTAGTTACCCTGTGGTAAGCATGTAACATGACATGATTTAACAATCCACACAAATGTATAGACAAAAAAACATCTGACACCCTTGACTAGGAGAAATGAAGGACAAATTGTAAGACTATACCTCCTGCAGAATTAGTGCGAATGAGAAAACATCAACCATAGTATCATATCCCTCATTCTTAAGAACTTCCGGAGCTACATATCGCCCTGTCCGAGGGCAATAAATTAGAACAAATTCCATCCCATTAATAATGGTATCATGGACAAGGATAATAAATACAAAAACAACTTCCGAGCTTCATCCACACGTAACCATTGAGAGTTGAAACCATCTAACATCTTGAATAACATCAAGTGCTTTATGTCATTGATGGAGTTCAAATGTTATACAAAGTGCATTATTCAGAATAACAAACAAAGTATATACTTTATTTTCATGCATTTCTTTTATTTTCTAATAGTACTTTAAAAGACATATTTATTGATGATTGAATCGAGCTTAAATATGATTCTATGAATCAACATCATATAAGAGTTGAGAATGCAATTGTTTGTATGATACTACGTATATCATAAAATTTTCAACATCAATGTTTCATAAAAGCTTCTAGGTAACTAAGTAAGATGCTGCTAGATTCGATGGCTTCCCATTTAAGAGAATACTTACACGAAGTCTCCTGACTTGTCAAAGGCTTATCTTCTTTTATCGCATTTGTATATCTCATAAGTTTGCTTAGTCCAAAATCAGCAACCTTTAGAAGTCCAGAATCACCCCGTAGTATATTTCTGCCAATTCAATTAAAGTATTAACATCAAATATAAATGCTGATTCTGTACTTCAGCATAAATCACGACAACCAGCTTTAATAAAAAGCAACCCACTGAAATAATAAAGAAACTCACGAAGGCTCCAGATCTCTGTGGATTATAGCTTCAGGTTTATGTTCATGCAAGTAGTTCATTCCTCTGCCACAGAAAAATTAAAAAAGATTATAAACGTAGAAGTGACAAAAAAAATAATTGACATGAGACAACCCCTTATTGCAACCAAACTGAATTATTAAAATGTGAACTATTGCACCAAATACTACATAAGTAATTTGATCCATGTCATATTTGCAAGTCTGTATGAGGCAGCTCCACAACACAACACTTATGTGAGCTTGCATGGGTGTCTACATACACACACACACACACAAAGAATACTGGGCGTGTAATCCAGCGTTCCCTGCTAGGTCATGGACTCAAACCCTAGAAACAGAAAAGTGATCAGATACCATTCATATTCCTTCACATGAGCTGCATGGTGTTGTGGTTTTGGGAAGTGAATTGGATCTTAATTACATTCATATCCATTTACAGACACTCCTAATAAAGGAATTGTTTATGATGCATATCAACTATCTGTCACAAGGCTAGTGAGAAACTCATGTCTGCTAACCTTGCAATATCCAGTGCATACTTGACTGCAATTATGGGCTTTAGTGCACCTTTTTTCTTCAAAAATGCACGCAGATCTCCCTAAGCAGGAAAACAGAAAGTAATTTTTTTTGGAAAGGTTATCAATACCGCCAACACAAAATTCCAAAGAACCCCAAATAGAAGTACCTTGGGTAAATATTCTGTAACAATCATCATAGGACTACTCTGAGTAACAGCCCCAAGAAATTGAACAACATTTGGGTGACGTATTTTCTGCAGTAAAGCAAGCTCATCCCTAAATGCTTGGCTGTGAGAAACAAACAGAAACAAGATCAAGGGCTGCTATTCGTAACAAGTAAAAACAATTGTAGGGAAGTAAAGTTTAATATCACCATTGAAAGCATATAACCAACCCACACTTTCTCTTCATCCATGAAGAGCTCCTCACCAAATTTCTTAACAGCAACCAGAGTTCCACCCCAAGAAGCAATGCAAAATGTACCCTGGCATACATTTCTTAAATTAGCATCTAAAGCTCAATATTAAATGCCCCAAGTATATACAAAAGAACAACATTACCAGTGCCTTAAAGGCTCCCGTCTATTGCGGGGTAAGGGGGGTCGGATGTACGTAGCCTAACCCCTATGCTTAAAACATAAAACGGCTGTTTCCAGATGACCCATGGTGAACGCCTAAGGTTGCATTGACTAACAACTACTTCACTATTAAAAGAAGCACACACAATTTAAAGATCCATTTTGCTTTATTCCATCATACCGCAAAGCCAAAGAATAGTGAATCTTTGGCTCCATCGATAGAAAACACCCCAAGTAAATAACAACAGCAATAATAAGAAAAATAACAACAAATTTGATGGAAGACACAAGTATGGATCAAAATAGGAGTGAAACTGCAATCAGCCCATGCAAAATAAAAGAAGATACTACAGTGAGTACTAATCTGAATATGCTAGTGGAATAAACAAATTAGACGTAAACATTCCTAAAATGTGATTAATGTTAATTCATGTCTCATGATTTAACCACGTTCTAGATTAGGTCAGTTACATGGCATTCAATTGATGAAGTTCAACTCTTATCTTGATATAAGAGCCAAATCCACACCAAGGCTTTACACTATCATATCTTTCTCAATAACTTTTGCTCTAGTACTTCAGGTTATCAGTATATCACTTCCTAACATCTCTTGTTCCTTAGCACTTCCAATCTATCAAATATCTTAAGTTGAATCTAGTCGATCCACCAAACCATATTCAATCAGCATCCCTTCACACTTATCTTTGATGACCATGCCTTCAAATAGGCACGTTAAAGAAAAGCCAATGACTAAATCAGAAGAAAGCGAGAATTATGCTTGAGCAATTGAGCTGTAATGTGACAATTAGGTTTTACCTTTGTTATGCCCACACTATTACTGAAGTCAATCTCCTTTGGATTAATTTCATACTCGGGAATTTCGCGAGCATTTTGGACATGCATGGGAGCCATCTGAAATGAATAGGAACTTCATATACTGAGACTGACCACCATTCACAGTTACATAGAATATCAATTAAGATGCTTATGTAGATTTAATGTTCCGAACATTCAATTTTAGATACGTAGGACATACTGGAAGTCTTGCTCCATGTGACTCTAGAAGCTTGACAACATCATTGTTTTTGTAGTGTATTGCATCTGCAAGAGGCTGTTCACGATAAAATAATGTCAGTGAGTTATTCTTAATATCTTCCAGACCCGAGGCTCACATAGGGCATGGCGGCAGCATAGCCACATTCATCTAACTGACTGAAATAGGTACGCATTCATGTAACTAAAAGCTCATTTACCACTGATATATAAGACTCTGAATTTCATTGCACTTTCAAAACTTTGGTTCTACTTTGGTTCTATGCAAGACAATATCATTCAAGATATGTAAAACCATAAAAGTACAACAGGCGAGCATTAAAAGAAAATACTCATCATACACAGCTAAAATCATACTCCCTCCGTCCCACTATATTTTTCCACTTTCATTTTTGCACACCATCCAATGCACTTCTTTAATCCATTTTATCTTGTAATTTGTATATTAAAAAATTATAGAAATTATATATTAATAACATATATGTTAAGACAAATCAAACAAGATCACGCATGACTATATTTAGGCTTACACATTGAGAGAATTTGATGAGTCAAAGTGCTTAGATGAACAGTTCCAAAAGTTAAAAGTGGACAAATATAGCGGGACGAAGGTAGTATATTGGATTAACATCAACATCAATGCAGCTGCAATGTACCATATGGCACAACAAATTGAATGCATTAACTTAATAGTGAAGTGGTCAAATTATCTGCAGACAGTACTAAATCCAGTGGTCCTAGACTCCTAGTCAAGTTACTGATAAGTCCAAGCAACCAGTTGTACGTTTTAGTACTTTACAATACTCACGGAATATATGTTCGTAAATCAGGAATCACAAATACTCCGTATAACAATAACTTCTTCTGCCAACCTGCAATGCTGGTATGTGTTCAATTCATTTACTTATAACAACAGGATGAACTGATGAAGTACAGTGATCAGTCTCTTTGGAGAGGTTTAGAGGAGTGAAACCAAAACCGGAAGGTAGTTATATCTTCATCCACTCAACCAATATACAAAATACAAAAACAAGCATCACAAGCTGCATAATAACAAACCAGACTGAACAAGCCCGGCATATACAACTCAAAAGTAGGGTCTGGCACTAGATTTACCTCTACCCAAGGAGAAGAGAGGTCGTTGCACAAGACGGCGACAAACATCACAAGGTAGATAGTAGACTTTCAAAATAACAACAATATCAAATCCCGGGTTCACCTTATGTCCAATTGAATTAAGAAAATAAGGGGAAACAATGATTTTCATTTACCTAAAACTGGAAAGAACTAGCTTTAGCTAGCACATTCTGTGTGTGGCCTGAAATTCTCTAACCATCAAACATACAGCATATGAATGAGTACTCAGTAGTAATCTTTATGAATTGAAAAATTCACATGAACATTAATCTAAGCTACACAGAACTATGAAGAAGTCCCTATAGAGATTGTCGAATTACCGTGCTGCCCCAGCGATCCTCAACATTGACCAGAGCGCCATTGCCCAGCAGCAGCTCCACCACATCCTTGCGGCCCTGGCAGGCGGCCACGTGCAACGCAGTCCGTCCATCAATATCATGGAAATTCGCGCCCGTGCCGGATTCCAAAAGCTCTTTAATTCCCTCTAGATCCCCCTCGTTAGCGGAATACATCAACCTTATCCCCGAATCAATCCCTGCTTCAACTTCCTCATAGTCGACTGGATCCAAGCCGCGGCCGCCGGCGTCGTTCTCCGGGGCCAGAGACGATTGTCTGCCGAGGCTGAATCTCGACTGTGACTTGGACTCCATGGAGTTTATCTATAATTACGTGGGACGACGAGTAGAAAGGTTATGTACTATCTAGGAGTATTTAAATAAGAAAACTATCTAAATAAAATTAAAACATAACTCCTCAAAATAGGAGCTTAAATAAAAATTCTCTAAATAAGACCTAAATAATTAGAGTCTAAAATAACCCACCACGCCTGATTCTCAAACAAGCTCTTTCTTATCCATTCTTATCCATTCACAGCCACTCTCTTCAACCCATTGCAATATCTTTTGTATTTTAATATATGGCGGGTCAGTTGAAAGGGTGAATATACCATATGCAAATTGATACGATTTGATGCTTGGACACATTTCCTGTGTTTAATTTAGTTTGTTTTAGGGGATGGGGTTGATTTTTTGGGATTTTTATAGGGATTCTATTCCTATCAATGTTATTTAGTTTTGTAATTAGCTAATGAAACTGATGCTTTTTGTTATGACTTATGAAAGAATAATAACTCTGTGCTATTTTTCAAAGCAATTTGAAGAGAATTGTGTAGGCTAATTTTTGAAGAGAATTGCTTTGGTGCTTGCCTGGTCGTGCAAGGCATTAAGTCATATTTGGCATTATGCTTTTGTGTAACATTTGTAAATTCACATTGTGACATTATATATGAGCATTTGTAGCATTATATATGGACATTTGTGCCATTATATATTGTTATGTATGACACTATGTGGTGTCATGTTTGTCATTATGTCTTTTTTGGCATTGTATTGATATTTGATGGTTAATGTTACACTGCGACGACAACGATACATAATTGTGATGTTAATGTGGGCAAAAATGGTAGAGAGCGGTAGTGTTGGTGGTGACGGTGAAAAATCAACAACGGCAATGGAGGATTTTGACAGCAACGGCGGAGGAGACTTAAGTGATAGTGGCAGCAACGACATGAGCAACCTGTTTGCGATGGAGCAAGTTGCTGAATTGTGTTTTAGTTTCACAACTATGACAAAGTTTCTTTTTTGGTTTGAGCTCTTTTTTGGGTTGCTAATATTTGAATGTACTCTTTTGTTTTCTAATATTTGAGCTAATACGGTAGATGAGCAAGATGAGTGGAGCGTGGGTACATTGATTGAATTACACAGATGAGTTGTGCACACATTAACTCCTATTCTGGGGATTTTATCTTTCTATTCCTATTTTTGGATTTAATCAATCTTTTACTCCTATTTTGTTCCTTAACCCAGAGAAGAATGACTCGTCCATGGTGGATGAAGATATAGCTTAGAAAAATTAAGGAAAAATTGCCCAAAATAATCCCAACTTTACCCGGTCTTTCAAAAATAATCCCACCTACAAAATGAAAGTTGGGATTATTTTTTATGAATTTTTGTTTTTTAATTTTTTTTGAAATTTTCATTTAAATTTTTTAAATTACTTTCTACCTCCATCATCATTTCTTTTTCCTTTTTTAAAGATTAGTCTTAGTTTAAAAAATAAAAACAATAGATATAAAAAATGAAAAAATGAGAAATGTAACTAAAATGGTACAAAAATAATAAATTAAATAAGGTAATCAATGAAAACTAACTTGAAATTGGAAAAAGTAAAATAAAAATATACGGGTGGGTTTTAATATTTTAGGCATTATACAAAGCATTAACATATCACTTCTGTTTTCTAGAAAAAATTATCTACAATAATTCCAACTTTACCGGACGGCTTGTTCTTTTAAAAAATAAGTAGTAGATTAAGACTTCGTATAGTGTGTAAAATGTTAAACCCGCGACTCCATATATATTTATTTTATTTCTTACCAGTTTCTGTTTAATTTCTATTGATTACATTATTTATTTTATTAATTTTGAATGGTTTTAGTTATTTTTCTCATTTTCATTATTTTTTATATCTATTTTTTCTAAGGTAAGAATAATCTTTAAAAAAGAAAAAGAAATGGAGGTTGAAAGTAATTCAAAAAATTTAAATAAAAATTTCAAAAAAAAATTAAAAAACAAAAATTCATCAAAAATAATCCCAACTTTCATTTTGTTGCCTAAAACGGGCATTTCCGTTATCTCTCCGTTAGAAACTTAACGGCGACCCAAAACTGGCAAATTTCAGTAAAGTTGGGATTATTATGCATCACAGTGAAAGGTGAGATTATTTTTGAAAGACCGAGTAAAGTTGGGATTATTTTAGGTAATTTTTCCAAAAATTAATCAAACAATTGTAGAACTCTAATTGAAACAACAATTATTTTATGTGACTGGGTAATTAATTGCATTTATGTGCAAATTATATCGTAAACCCGGTTGTACCGAATTTTTGGCACAACCGGCTAATTGAGGAACGAAAGAGATGGAACGGAAGCCGTCATAATTATTGCCGCCCCTCTATTTGCCGGGTCGGGCCACTGGAGACGAAAGACGATGGAGCAGCGAAGATGACGAGGAGCAATGGTGGAGAAAATCCAGCGAAAACGATGGTGAAGGAAGATATAAGGTGCAGCGAAGGTTGCGGCGGCGTTACAAATTGAGGCTGCGGGTTGGGTCGCGTAGATCGAGGAAGAAAGCCGCGGTAGATGGGGGGAGAGGCGTGGGGGATGAAAACCCTAGTCGAGTCGGGTCGCGTAGGAGAAGCATGCAGATAAAAGGTTATTTATGGTATGAGTTTTATTTTATTTGAGAATGAGTACTATTTTAATTTAGAATGAACACCACTTATTTGTGGATGAATATTATTATTGTACTGAATAAATGTGTAAAAATGAGTACTACGTTATTCCAGAATGAGTACTACGTTATTTTAGAATGAGTACCACGCTACTCCAAAATGAATAGTTATGTTTGTTCGAGAATGAATACCACTCTACTTCAGAATGAGTACTACTCGGATGTACCGATCTCAAGGTACATCCGGTTGTACCATATAGCTTCTCGCATTTATGCCAAACTTTGGAACTTGTGATATACTCCCTCCGTCCCAAAAAGATTTACACCTTTCAAAAAAATTGTGTTCCACAATCTCATACCTATTTCTATTAAAAAACCACTTTTACCCATTACTTTTTCAAACCCTACCTATCACATCATACTTTTTTCCTAATAATTTACACATCATATCTTACTTTCACCCATCACATCAAGGGTATTTTTGAAAAGTCAACACAAAATTATCCCTCCCTTAATTTCTACTTTAGTCAAAATGAGTAACACTTTATGGGATGGAGGGAGTAAGAGTTTAAGAAAGTTTGAAAGTACAACTCTATAAATAAATATCAGATTAAAATCTTAAAAAAATTAGTGTTATTAACTTTATTAAATGAAAATATCTGATCATACCAGAGTGTAATGTCCACACGCAACAAAAAACTGGTGGAGTGGGTATATGTGTAGTCTTTAGAAACCATAAAGATTTTAAGAATAAGTATTGAAAAGAGAGGAATTTTTGTACCTATTTTTCAAGGGCAAGGTTCCCATCACATTGCCCGGCAATGTTATGTGATGACTCGGGGGTGATCCGGTACTCTGTTTGTAAAATTAACGATTCCTACCCCCTAACCCCCCGGTAAATCCCCCCACCCCGCCTCGACCCGAACACACCCCATTATCCCTCCAATTGCACCACACAAGTTGATTTTGACTTTGGAGTCAATTTTTGACTCCAAAATTAAAATCAACTTGTGTGGTGCAATTAGAGGGGGTGGGGGTATGTTCGAGTCAGGGCATGTGAAGGATTTACCGAGAGATAGGAACCGTCAATTTTATGAACCTTGGTAATTTTTCAAACTAAAGGGGGTTTTGTTATCTGGCCCTTTTTTATTTAGAAAAATGTTAATGCTAATCACACGAACATTAATGCATACTCCGCACTTCCTATAGTGGTAATCATTTCTTTTGACATATGCAACGCAACTGCAATAATTGTACCGCTGTCCTCTTTTTAAATCTACTTTATTTATGTCTGTTGTTAGACAATAATATTAAGTATTCCTAGTTATGGTAGAAGTTGTATTTTAGTTAGTCTCTATTTTCTATTTCTAGTTGTGTTAGGAATCTCTTCTATATATACTCTATCATGTAATTCATAATTCAAGTAGCAATATTATTATTTCCAATATTTCAACATGGTATCAGAGCCACCGCTCTTGGTGACCTAAAAAAAAGTTCTTTGCTCCCACTGCCGCCGCCGGTAATTTCGGCGACGGCGGCTCCACCTTATTTACCTTTATTTTCTTTTTCTTCTTTATTCTCAAATTAACTTCTCTATTCAAAAAAAAGAAAAAAAATCTCGTGTTGAAATCACAAAAAAAGCCGTCAAAGGAGGAGCTTCCCTCTTGCCATCTCCATGGTTCTTCAAAAAAACCCAACTCCTCACAAACTCTCTCAGATCATCCTATCTTCTCAAAAAAAAAGGAAAAAATAAATGATTGTTGTTTCTCTCCAATTCACCATATCAAAATCTCAGACCCCATTTTTTTTTCCATCACCAATTTTTAACCTACTTTTTCTCTCTAAAATCACACATTCTAATCATAACCTCCCTTCTCTTTCTCTTCTGTTGAACCATTAAAAATCCAAAGTAAATCAGCACAAAAAGCAAAGCCAAGAAGGGAAGTAGTGAAAGAGGAAATAAGACCTCTACAACTCACCCCTTCAACAAGGAAATAGGGCATTGTCCGGATCCAAGAAAAAGACAAAAAATGTCAAGGATCTTCAGTCAAACAAGCACCTCGAGTAGTTCTCAATTCTTCTTCGACGTCAGCAGCTACAAGCGCACGTCAACCTTCTCTCTTCTTCATCGATGTCAGCAGCTACTAGCGCACGTCAATTTCTCTCTCTTCTCCAACGACGTCAGCAGCCACCGACGCACGTCAGACTTCTCTCTTCTCCAACGACGTCAGCAGCCACCGGCGCACGTCAAACTTCTCTCTTCTCAAAGTTTCCAGTTTCCGTCTAGTGTCCAAGCTTCCTCTTGCTTCAGCCAGAGTTCAGCTTGAGGGAGATGTTAGACAATAATATTAAGTATTCCTAGTTATGGTAGAAGTTGTATTTTAAATAGTCTAAACTAATTTTAAAGATGCATTTGGTATCATCGTTAAAGATTGATTAGTATCTGCATTTTGAAAAAAGCTATCTAAAGGTAGTGTCTAGTATTAGCATTTTAAGAGTCTATGTACAGCATTAAAATTTTATTTAAAATGCTAACGCTAATCGCAAATGTTGTTTCCAAACAAGACTTAAAAATGAAAAGATTGACCAATTATATCTGAATCAAATAATGAAAGATTGGGACTAAAGTGTTTTTTTTTTTTTTGAAATCTGCTCGATCTTAGAGCGATAGTTTAATTTGGTCTTCTAAAATGAGAGATGGCCTAGATTGGTTCTGCACCGATAGTCTCTTAAGAAACGACTAAATATACTTATGTTAAAAGCAATTTTTTATGTTTAAGCTTATGTTAAAATTAAAGATCTACTCAGACACAAAATGGAAGAAGCAAAACTATATAATTTTATTACATGAACTGAAAACATAGAAATAAACTAAAATTATAGAAACCCTGAAATAATAACTTGGGGGTGGGGGTGGGGAGGGATCGGAGTATATATGTCTCGTAAATTCTTTTGTACTCTTTGGATCTATGTTTATTTTTTAAACACCATTACATCGACACCATGAAAATACTAGACCTTTTGCAAAAAGAAATAGATCGTTTGTAACATACTCCCTCCGTCCCAAATTATTTGCCACATTTGTATTCCCGAGGTAAAATATCAAGTTTTTTCAATTCATTTTATTTACATATTGGTAAAGAAATAAAAAATAAAATTTACATATAAAAAAACTACTTGAAAAGTTCTTCGAAATAAGAGGTGTCAAGAATATTTTATTTTATCAAATAATCAATGAAAATGTCGAAATAAACAAAAGTTTCCGACACTGCTGAAAAAGCAAATGTTGTGAATATTTTGGGACGGAGGGAGTTTGAAAAATATGAGAGACGATTCATATTTCATATGTAGACTTTAGGAGTACAAAATAACTTATTGGTTACTATACGAACCAAATTATAACTTATTTCCATATATATTACTCTGTATTTAATTTTTACCTTAAATTTAAAATAAATACTCCATAATTTTTTTTTTACATTTTTAGATTAATACCCGAGAAAATAAATAAATTAAATAAAACATACTTTCAATTAATGATGGTGAATTCTTTTGGAAATAAAAAACGAACATCATCATCACATCGATCTTGTTGAAGATTTCACTAGAGTCTAGACTAGGAGATGATGTTATAATTACATCCCTTTTACGGAGTAACATTCTCCATCTCCATTAAGGGAATATCTAATTTCTTTATCCATTTTCGTTTTAATTGATTATTCTACTATACAGTAATGATATACTCCTTCCGTCCCAAAAAGATTTACACGTTTCAAAAAAATTGCGTCTCACAATCCCTTACCAATTTCTATTAAAAAACCACTTTTACCCCTTACTTTTTCAAAACCTACCTATCACATCATACCTTTTTTCTAATAATCTACCCATCACATTCTACTTTTACCCATCACATCAAGGGTATTTTTGGAAAGTCAACACAAAATTATCACTCCCTTAATTTTAACTTTAGTCAAAATGGGTAACACTTTATGGGACGGAGGGAGTATATAGTCCTCTCTTGATAGTGTCATTGCAAAAAAAATAGACTAAAATAAAAGTAAAATATTGAAAAATACATGAATAGGAGTTTCATATTTTTATTGTCAAAATAGAAGTTAAAATATATTTACAATGTCAATCATGACCATTTATAATAACAAAAGGTGTTATGAAATGTTCATATACAACGCTACATTATCAAAATGTGAACTCTTATTTTAAGGATAAAAACACGAGGCTCTTATTTTATATTTTTGGTGATTTCGTTATTATTTTTATTTAATGTTGATATTTGAATTTATTTTTTAGTGGTGTAAATTAATTTTGAAACTTTTTACACTAAATGTTACATTTAAATATTTCTTTCAAAATACAAAATTAAACACTAAATCTGTTGTCAAACGGCTCCATAGTCATATCATGGCTCCATAGTCATATCATTATTTGTTCTCCAAAATTGTTACGGAGTAATATACTTTTTACTCCTTACATTTTAATTTAATACTAATACTAACAAAAAAAACTAGATTAATTCCAATCAAACATTATAATTTGAGACGATACATTATTACTCCATAGTGTACAAGTACTCCAAAATCTTTCGGGCCCTGTACAAGATGATATATAGTGGATTATATTCTTTTTAATTTTCTGATGTGGGAAAGACTCTCATAATTGAAAAAAACGAAATATTACCAAAAAGTGTTGCAATGTCAATCATGACCACATACATTACCAAGACTTTCATGTTTTTACTCCCGAAATAGTAGCTAAAGCGGATATACAATGTCAATCATGACCACATACATTACCAAAAAGTGTTGCAAAATATTCATATGCAGTGCCACATTACTACAGTGCAAACTCGATCTTATTTAGGAAATAAAAACATGAAACTTCTTTTTTTTATTATCTATATGTTTTACTCTTATTTAGGGTGATTTCTTTCCTAAATAATATTGTACCTTTTCACTAATAATCTACCCATCATATCCTACTTTTACTCATTACATCAAAAATAGTTTAGGAAAATTAACAAAAAAATATCTCTCCCTTAATAAATACTCTCTCCGTTTCTTAAAACCCTTCATCTTTTTTTTTTTGTTTTTCTTAAAACGCTTCCCCTTTCTATTAAAAAACCACTTTTACCCCTACTTTTTCATACCCTACCTATCACATCATACTTTTTCTCTAACAACTAAACTATCACATACTTCGTATTACTTTTACCCATCACATCAAGGGCAAAATTGGAAAGTCAACTACAATTTAATACTTCCTTATTTTCCCCCAAAGTCAAAAGAGGAACTTTTTTGAGAAACGGAGGGAGTAATATAAAAGTCAGAACATGAAAAAGATTTAGGGACGGAAAAACTATATTTTGTCTATTTTATTTAGTTAATAGCATGAAAAATATGTAATTCACAATCTTTTGCTTACTCCAGATATTTTTTTAACTATTTACACTTAATTATCATGTACTCCCTCCGTTCTCAAAAACACTTCCTCTTTCATTTTTTCCACTTTCAACAAAACATTTCCCTTTTCTATTAAAAAACCACTTTTACCCTTACTTTTTCATACCCTACCTATCACATCATACTTTTTCTCTAATAATCTATCCATATATCTTAGTTTTACCCATCACATCAGGGGCAAAATGGGAAATCAACTATAATTTAACACTTCCTTATTTTTGCCCCAAATCCAAATGGGAAGTGTTTTTCCAAACGGATGGAGTATTTTTTTAAAAAAAAACAAGAAATGAAATGGGAACAATTAATTTAGGACGAGACAAATTGGTTAGTACCACTACTCGTGAGAAATGTGGTTCGGTCGGGTGGTGCTGACGTGCTGTGCTGTCCCATATATCTTTTCTCGTTTCCTTAACCCTATTCGAGTAGGGTATGTTTGTGCATTTCAGTTTTAATTTGGTTCTTGTTCTCGTTTTCTTTGCTTTGTTGCATGTGGTTCCCTTTTAGCTCGGTTAGGTTTATTTGATTTTAGCTATAGGAATGCTCCAATGAGTCATGTTAGGGTTGTTTTGATCAATTTCTTAAGACATAAATAGAAGTCCATACTCTCATTATCAACCACACCCACGTCATATGCCGACGCCATTCAATCATTTGACATCGCCGTGGGTTGCCGGAGCGCCGGTGTCTGCCCCGTCAGTCACTTGCATTGACATGCATGTAGTCTAACAACGATTTAATTCTGTATTCTCGATCACTTTCACCGTGCATCATCACATTTTTATTTAGAAAATTAAATTATGTCTTCGATCAAATTGTGGCACTTTCGTAATGTTTTACTCCAATTTAGGAAAGTTTCTTTAAAAAGTACTTAGGGTTGGTGAAAATTTAAAAATATACTTCCTCTGTCTAGAATTTATCGTCCGAGTTTGAATTTACGAAGTTCAAAAAATTGTCGAAAATTTAAAAGTGGGTTGTTAAAATTTGATGAGAGGAAAAAGAAAATTTGAGACATTTATTTTGAGGGATATTATATAACAAGAAGTTCATAAGCTCATAAATTAGAATGCTTAATTGATTAGATATAATCTTTTAATGCGTTTCAGTCCAAGCGTCTTATGACACAATTCGGTGATTCTTACCTGTCCAAAAATTACCGGGAGAATTGGAGGGGGTAGGAACCATCAATTTTACAAACGGGATACTGGAGCACTCGTAAGTCATCCCTTGACATTGCCGGACAATGTCATGAGAACTTTGGTGCAATCTTTTTATAGAAATGAAAAAGATTTTAACACGAAAAAAAGAAAGGAAAAACTTTTAGGGGGTGAGCAAAGTAGCATATAAAATGGGCCACCGCATGAGTCCATTCAATGATTTGATTATTGATTTCTTCCCCAAACTTCTGTTCCTTTAACCTTAATTACCTAGCTTAATTAGCTTCCTCCTCATCCTCATAACATTTTTTTAAAAGAACAAAAAAAATTTGGTTGATGGATAGAGGCAAAGAGTTGGTGGTGGCGATGGGATCATCATCCGGCGGCGGCGGAGGAGGAGAGAGCGGTCCGGCGACACCAAGCCGCTACGAGTCACAAAAGCGTCGGGACTGGAACACGTTCGGGCAGTACCTGAGGAACCAGAGGCCGCCGGTGGCGGTGTCGCACTGTAGCAGCAACCACGTCCTCGACTTCCTCCGGTACCTCGACCAGTTCGGGAAGACCAAGGTCCACTTACAAGGCTGCGTGTTTTACGGGCAGCCGGAGCCGCCCGCTCCCTGCACCTGCCCGCTCAAGCAGGCCTGGGGCAGCCTCGACGCCCTCATCGGCCGCCTCCGCGCCGCCTACGAGGAGAACGGCGGCACCCCGGAGACCAACCCCTTTGCCAGCGGCGCCATCCGCTTGTACCTCAGGGAAGTGAAGGATTGTCAGTCAAAGGCGCGTGGGATTCCGTACAAGAAGAAGAAGAAGAAGGTGGCGATCTCCGGCATGGCTCCGCCGGCGATCTCCGCCGCCGACGACTTCGAGTCATCTTCTTCCGCGCCATTTTCTTGATATTAAACGAAGAAGGAAAAGAAAAACCACCGGCACACAGTTGCAGCAATTCAAGGTATCAAGCTATAAGCTATCTCCCTATTGGACTACTCCTCTTATTGTTCAAAATTTGTTTTTATTTTTTTTTAAAGAAAAAGAATACACGTATATGGCAATAATTTTAAGATTCAATAAATAATATAAAAATATTAGAAACTTACCATGAGTACTTACAAATGATAATCACAGATAATTTATTCATATATAAATAATAATTCTCTCGATACATTTAACTATAGTCTCTGTATGTAAAAAATCACATGTGATTGTGATGCGCGAGGTCAATTGTGGCGGATCCTTAGCATGATCCTAAATAATATCAATGCTCCCATTTTTAATATCAATGATCCTAAATAATATCACATGTGACCACTTCATATGCCACAAGACCTTTTAAATCAATGATGCCATTTATTGAATCTTGATTTTATATTGTAAACTCGTAAATTTCTTAGAATTATGATATGCATTTTTTCTTAAATAAGCTTTAGTCAAAATTAAAGTTACTTGTTAAATTAAATTAATTAGGTGTTACTTTTAGCATTTTAAAAGTGGTCTGCATTCAAATTAATGGTCTAATATCACCATTTATACGCGCTAGGCGTATAATTTAACAATGGTCACCATTTATTGCCGCTTTAACATTTTAAAATGTTAATTAAAAAAATATTCAACATTCAAAATTGCACTAAATTTTTTTATGTGCAAAATTGCTTTAATTACATGTATGTGTCTAATGTCTAAAATTGACGCGAGACCAATTGAGTATTTGAGCATCATCAGGTGGGTAGGTGCAACAGAAATTAAGATTGATTTCATGATTTCATCTTTGAAGTGATAAAAACCCTAGCTAGCTAGCTAGCTAAACTAGCTAGCTGTATGATGGAAACCTCTTACGGAGTATTAGCTAGCTAGATGAAATTTCAGTGTTAAAGTCTTACTTGTTTGTCATCATCTACCGGGAGAAGTACTACGTGTACTTCGTATAGGATTCAAGTTTAATTACTATAGTCCTAGCTCCTAATCTTACAACTTACCACCCATGCCAATTCTTAACCCTAATTTACCATCCAAATCATGCTAGCTAGGTTTCACTACGGGCATCCTACGAACGACAATCAAGATATAATTTAAACATATAAAGACAATAATTGTCTATGTTCATAGATGTTTATCGTCTGCATATGTATAAATAATCAGAGATTGTTATTCGTGGAGGCATCCGTTGTGACTTCCTAACATTTTTGTTTACAATCTTGCCTTTATCGAAATCAAACTCTGTTGTCCCATCACACCCACCATCTCCCCTTTGGAATTGCCGCCGCTGTCACCCGTGTCGCCTATTGCACCATCGTTCCGTTAATGTCCATTGTAGTTTCATTCAATCGGCAGGCTTGCTAATAAAATTGGCCGGGTCAAACAGGACTGAACTCGAACCTGATTATTCTTTTTCATTACTCCTTTTTGTTTTGAAAATTAAACCATTACGGAGTACTTCTTTTTAATGTACAAACTTATCTTTTCAAATAAGTTTTGAGGATATCACATAACAACAAGTACCACTAACATATAGCATAAATAAAAGGATGAAGCTCAACTCTTTAATTAGTTCAAGCTTTTGGATTAATAGTGGATCCCAACTTTATATACAAGTGGTTGGTTTTACTCAACACTTTTCATATTGTTCAAATAAGAAAGTTCTAATATCTTTAATTTATACTGCGTATCTTTTAGCATTTAATTATTATTTTATTTACAACATACAAGTATTAATATAAGTTTGTGGTTACTATTAATCTATTAAACCAACAAATAAGTATAATAGTCTCTCTTCTTATCGTCAATTGGTTTAGGATGGAACCACATGAACTTGTGGTTAAGCCCCGCAAATGTGCACGGATCGGCATGCGTGTGCCCATCGGGCCTTTATCATTGTATTGGAGCATTCTCGGTCGCTAATTAGTTTAGGGTTGAACCCCAATGCATTTGTCCCCCAAGCTTTGATTGGCTCACCAAAATGTAACATGCATGGTATCAAAGCCAAATTGATCGTGAGATCATTGGATTTGAGACTGGCAGCCTCCCAGTTCAAAAGAAAAATTAGAATTTCACGTGCTAGGCTCAAAGCGGTCACACGTAGACGTACACGTACGTGAGAGAGCGTGTTAGAATATAAAAAAAACTATCCTGGGTCTACAATTATAAATTTAAACTTTTGATTAAGTTGGTTACTTGATAACAAAATTGAGTTTTTGGTTAAATTAGTTAGTTTACATAGTTTATCATGATTTTTCTATAAAGGATCAATGTTTTGAAAGGGATTGATTATTTTTCTAGAGGAAGAAAGTGAGAGATCATTAGTTTAAAAAGTACTCATAAAATAAAATTAGAGAAAAATATTTTTTTTACTTCTTTCCTTTCAAAATAAAATTTGATTTCACAAAATCTAACAAGCATTGAAAAGTTAAAAGTAGGATAAAATACTAAATTATGAGTAAAGCATAGATAATATACCATAATAAAAGCTTCATATTTTTAATCCCAGAGTAAGAGTTACATTTCCAACATTTATGTTAATATATAATATAAAACAACACTATGAAATGTCAATATACAGTGCTATATTTTCACACTGCAAATTCCTATTTTGAAATCAAAATAATAATAATCCTATTTTGGATCAGAGTAGTTTTTAAATATAAACTTTTTATTTTTATTTCTTTACCAATTTGTAAATAGAAGTGTGTTAAAAGTCATGGAGTTTTGCACGTTGAACAAAGAAAGAAATTCTTTTAGGGATGGAGGGAATACATTTTACTTATACTTTTGTTGATTTTTTAAAATCATGTAATTAAAATTTGTTTTAAAAAACTTGTGAGCTGCATATACCTCATTCTTTAATTTAAAAAAAGTAAATTCGATGGTGGACCTAAGGTCTATTATGGACTTACATATGAACAAAATAAGTAAGTTTGTACTACTTAAATAAGAATTACTACGGGGTATTAATTAAAAGCAAATCTTTTAGGTGACAAGGTCCACAAAATTGATATGGACCCAAGGTGCACCAGCGAAACACTCTAAAAAAAGTTGGTGCGTTAATATTTTACAAAAAAATGAAAAGTTTATTTTGTGATCATACCTTATTAAATTAGTACTCCATTCGTCACAAATTATTTGTTCTTTTTCAAATAACACATGTAATCACATCTTTTTAAAAGTATAATTAAAATAAAAGTATAATTTAAGCATTTAAAAATTACATCAAAAGTTTAACAAAAAACAAATGATGACATGTTGATTCTAATATTGTACTCCCTCCGTCCCTGAGTGTTTGTTCACTTTCATTTTTGCACACCATCCAATGGACTTCTTTAATCCATTTTATATTGTAATTTGTATATTAAAAAATTATAAAAATTATATATTAATAATCTATATGTTAAGACGAATCAAACAAGATCACACATGATTATTTTTAGGCTTACACATTGAGAGAATTTGATGAGTCAAAGTGCTTAGATGAACAATTCCAAAAGTAAAAAGTGAACAAACATTCAGGGACGGACCAAACATCTTGAATTAAAAACATTATTTTATGGGGAGAGGAGGATAGAAAAAAACATTATTTTAAGGAGAAAGAAAGTAAACTCTCAATTAAAATATTCTTTTGGGATTCTGCAGAAGATTTTGTGCCCCACACACATCAACTGAAGTCGCAGACAGTAGTCTTTTACGGAGTATGTCTTTTATGGTAGAAAATCGAATCTTAGAACAGAGGAAAAAATATTTTCTTTAAGGTTACTATTTATAAATCAATCATGAAATGATAAATTAGTTCAAGTTGCTAGCCGACATAACAAACCAATAACTTGGTCGATTAAAGCTATTAACCAGCTGGCTAAGTACTTTCGGAGTTCCAAAAAATGAAGATATATTTTGATATTTAAGAAAATAACATCTAATTAGGGAGTAATTGTGGAATCATTCTTTTGATTTTTACTTCTTCCGTTCCTAAATATTTACCATATTTCAAAAAACGAGCTAAAATATTAAATTTTTTCAAATTATTTTATTTAAATTTAAATATTGGTATATAAATTAAAAATAAAATTTACATATTTAAAATTTATATGAAAAATAGTCAATGAAAACGTACAAATAAACAAAAGTTTTTGTGACTGTTGAAAAAGTAAATGGCAAATATTTTTAGACGAAAGGAGTATGATTTACGGAGTATGACTATTTGTTTTCCCTAACATTATTTTTGCTTTGAATTTCTTTTTACTTCTTCGTCCCCTCAAAAAATATTTTTGACTTTTTTCGTTCAACTGTCTACGGTCTATCATATTAAATTTATGTTATAGCGAAATAAGTTTTTCATTCTTCCTACGTCTCGTAAAAGTTTCTTGTTTTTACTTTTAGGTGATTTAAGGAAGGTGTATTTTGATATTTGACCTTCCACAAATACCTTTAGGGTTTCCTTTTAAAAGTGATGTTTCACATCAATGAATAGTTAAGAATAATAGAAAAGAGTAATAAAAACATAAAGTTAGATGAGATGTAATAGATGAGATATAGGAAAATAGGGTTAAAAAGTGATATTTTTTTGTCCATTTTAGAGAAATAGAAATATTTTATGAGACAGGTAAGATGAGAAAGTTGAAATGTTTTGTGAGAGTGAAAGAGTATTTTATAATCAAAGTTTGGAAACATTAATTTGATCAAAAAGTACAAGGAACATTTCTTAGGGATAGTGGGATTATATTTTATTCCTTCACATTAATTACATTTCTTTTAGGGTCCGTTTGGTATACGGAATTGACGGAATTGGAATTGAATTGGAATTGAAATTCCATGGGATTTAATTCCATAGAATTGAATTCTGCCAATTCCAATTCATTTTTTGCAGTATCAATTCTAAACTCACATAATTTCTGTGTTATAAAACACTGGAATTGGAATTGAAGTCCTCAATTCCAATTCCACAGTTTGAATTTCATGTACCAAACGGGGCTTTAAGGTCATTACAAAAGTTTTTTTTTGAGATAAACAGAATCAGGTAGTATACCGTATAATATGTTTGGTTCATGGAATTTAAAAAGAAATAGAAAAGAAAATAAGATGGAAAACAATTTTCTTATTTAGTCAAAGAGAAAAAGAGAAGAAAAGGGAAATGAAAGGGAAAATGTAGTGATATGAAAATCCAAATTTCTTTTATTTTGGTAAGAATAAACGAGAGATTTTTTTCTTCAAATTCCTTACACCAAGCATAAAGTTTTAATGTTATACTACATCCATTTGGGAAAAACTTCCTTAATTTGACCAAAGACCAAAATAAGAAATGGTTATTGTATGGAGTACTTGATTTTTCAATTTATCTTTGATGTGATGGGTAAAAGTAAAATGTGATAAATAACTTATTAGAGAAAAAGTATGATGTGACTGATATGGTGAGAAAAAATATGGGTAGAAGTGATTTTTTAATAGAAATTTGAAATGCTTTAGTGAAAGAGAAAAAAATGAAAGAAGAAATATTTTGGTAAATGAAGGGAGTACATCTTAAGCATAACGCCTCTGCAAGTACTAGGTACAGTCTCCATTTTCTGCCACCAATATGCGATTAAACTCTAATTTATCTCTTCTTAGTAACTGTCCGGCCAGATATGAGTGAACCTCCGGAATGGGACTCCTCATCATTATACTCCGATCCGTATTTAGATATCACATGCATTTAATAAAGAAAAATTTACGTAAATAGCACTAAGGGGCTGTTTGGCAACTTCTGAATCGATAAGTGCTGAACCAGTAAGAGGTTTGAACCATTAAGTGCTAAACCAGTAAGAGGTCTGAAATATTAAGAGCTAGTATATTGCTTAACTATTCAGAGGCAAATGTCTGATCAATTCAGATAAGAGGTCTTAACCATTCAGACTCTGTATAATACTTAACCATTCAAAGGCAAATCTCTTAACCATTCAGACATCTGAACCATTAAGAGGCTGAAACAAACAGTCTGAAACATTAAGTGCTGAACCATTCAGACATCTGAACCATTAAGAGGCTGAAACAAACAGCCCCTAAAACATAATGAATTTTCATTAATAGCATCACATGTGTTTTTTTCCAATGTAGCACTTTTAGTCATTATCCATTAGTCATTATTCAAGTAAATGTTCGTTATTACTGGACATTATGGATATTATTAAATGCTATTTATGAATAAAACAATTTAAATGTTATTTAGGAAAATGACTTAAATTCTAGTGCAATTTTGTGCAAATATTTCTTTAATAAATGGAGTGTTTTGCCCAAAATATTTCCCAATGTCGCAAGTAGAGCACTTTAGAGATGGGATCGACATGCATATCCACGTACGTACACATGTTTTCCCCCCTCCAACAATTTGATTACGACTTTTCAAACTATGACACTATGAGTATACTTTTTTTCAATAATTTTTATGTATTTGTGTATTTTCATTAACCTGATTAACTTATAACATAAAATATTTTGTCTTCCTTTGTTTTATAAAATTTTTGATGTAATTTTTGCAATATTTAACTTTTATTTTAATACTAATTATATTTTCAAATTAAATGATTTCAAGAGATAAAGTTTTGTCTCATAATTAACAATTTCTAATCTAAATTAGAATAGAGGGTGTATATTTATCCGACTGTATGTACAACTCAGACAATGCACTTATTTTTTTTTGTCAATCTTCTAAACACACATACACACACATCTCATAAAAATGATATTTGCACATTCCACTTATAACTAGTGACATTATACTTGATGACAATGTCGTTGAATTTATTTTAATTGACAGTTTTTCACAAACATTTACTTTTTGTGAATAATCGTTGGTGAGAACAAATTGAACGACAGTATCAAACTTGTCGTCACTAACAACACTCTCATATATATATATATATATATATATATATATATAAATATAAATATATATATATATATATATATATATATATATATATATATATATATATATATATATATATAGATGCTAAACTCCACCATTGGTCCTTCAACTTTATCTATTGTGCACGATTGGTCCTTCAAGTTTTAAAAGTCCATAAATAGTCCTTCAACTTTATGAGTTAAGCACGATTAGTCCTTCAAGTTTTAAAAGTGCATAAATAGTCCTTCAAATACATGTCAGCCCTCCAGATTAGGTCCTTTTGACAGTAAATGTTAAAAGCTAAATGAAATACTAGCTCCATATAATACGGAGTAGTCGTACCTAGTGGAATCTACTCGTATTATATGAGACTAGTATTTCATTTAGCTTTTAACATTTACTGTCAAAAGGATTTCATATGGAGGGCTAACGTGTATTTGAAGGACTTTTTATGCACTTTTAAAACTTGAAGGACCAATCGTGCATAACTCATAAAGTTGAAGGACTATTTATGGACTTTTAAAACTTGAAGGACCAATCGTGCACAACTAATAAAGTTGAAGAACCAATGGTGGATTTTAGCCTATATATATATATAGGGATCAGTTCAAGTGAGAATGAACCTCAATGAAAAAAATAAGAATGAAGGAGAAACGTGAGATCAGATGCATCCGACGGTTATTAGTCGCAGAGGTATGTGGGTGTTAAAGTGAAAATATTAAAAGCATTTATAAGGAAAGAATTGACCCACGTATAAAATTTCGCATTAAGTAGTTGAGGGAGGGCATAAATGGAAATGCACTCTCAACCGCATTCTAAAAAAATTAGACACATTGCTGCTCTTTCACCGTAATTATTGGAGTATAACATCCACAATTATTAGGCTTGTACTACCACTATATACCAAGTATAAAATTTTAATTGCATGGGGCTAAAAAATACTCCTTATTAATTTTTTTTTGTTAATATATTGTTAGAAATCTTAGAAATCATCCTAAATAGTACTAAAACATAGAAAAAAGTACCAAAATAGGATTTTCATGTTTTTTTCTCGGAATAGGACTTTGCATTGTGGTAATGTGACTTTGCATTGTGGTAATGTGGCAGTGTACATGTGCAAATTACTATACTTTTTTGGTAGTGTATATGACCATATTTGGTAATGTAAGTCCTATTTCGGGAATAAAAACATGGAAGTCCTATTTTGTTATATTTTCAATGTTTTAATCTTACTTTGGTCTTTTCTCTGGTCGAGATCTACACAATAACACCAATATTATATAAAACTTTATTCTTATCTTCTTCTCATTGTCAATGTACTTTTTAAGGGAGAAAGACCAAAATAGGACTAAAATATTGAAAATATACCAAAATAGGATTTCCATATTTTTATTCCAGATATAGGACTTACATTACCAAACATGGTCATATACATTACCAAGAAAGTATAGTAATTTGCACATGTACACTGCCACATTACCACAATGCAAAGTCACATTACCACAATGCAAAGTCCTATTCCGGAAAAAAAACAGGAAAGTCCTATTTTAATACTTTTCTCTATGTTTTAGTCCTATTTAGAATGATTTCTATATAATTTATAAATATGCATCTATAATTTTTAGACCAATATTTCAAGATATAACACTCTCTTAATGCTATTCCATCCGCCCCTAATTAACACTCCGTGTTTGACTCGACACGATGCTTAAGAAGAGTGAAATTATATACTTGAAAAAGCATCTAATTTAAAAATGATTTTTAATATGCCACTTTTTAAAACATGTCTCGCGGAGATGCACTGTGATATCCACAAATACATATCTAATGCGAATGCACTTTGTCTATCGTTATGTGCACTGCAGTTTATCTTTTAGATTATATATTTATATTCCAATTTTATTCTATTAATTTGTGAATTAGTGAATAATAACTTCTAAGTGACTTTCTATGTAATGAGAATGGCTAAGAACACAATGTATTTAGAATATGTGTATTACATATTTGCCTATGGAAAATTCAAACTCAGATTTACCATTTGAGCTAATATGCAAGAATTTGTTTTTAAAAAAGACGACTCTCATCTTGCACTTGGACCTATTAAATTTACATTTCTAATTTTTACAATTTGCATCATTTAACGTCTTACGAACCTATACTCAAATGTATCACAGACCACTTTAAATGCATTGTCATTTGCAGAAATTTCACTATCTAGAATATATGGATGCATCACATTTGTGTCAAGAGAATTTCACCATTAGATGCATAAACTTTAATTATGAGAATGCACAAAAGTAGAATGCATTATTTTTTACTTTAATTGTGAGAATGCATTGCAATCTCATGAAAAGGCATTATTTTGACTCTCATAATGCACAATAACAAAAAATAAACAAAAAGTAAAAAAAAGGAAAAAAAGTCAAACTATACAAGGCAATCAGTAATCATCCATTTCAAATGGAAAAAGAAAATATGTAAAATCACTATAAATGAATAGCAAGAAATCCGGAAGTGATTTGCGTGAATGGAAGTAGTTTCAGAGCTATTCTTGCGGAAGGGGACTCACTCAAGAAAGAACGGAAGTTTGTGAAAGTACAAATTTGTCCATATCGGTATATTTGGGTGGCGCAGATCAAAAATAAAATTTGCAAAGATCCAAGGGTGCATATTCATTTTTAATTCTTTCATTAGATGACATTCTCATTTGAACCCAATTCTATATATATATATATATATATATATATATATATATATATATATATATATATATATATATATATATATATATATATATATATATGCATCTTTTTATCAAAGAGAGTGGAACATTTAAGTATTTAACATTAATTACTCGACTCTAAGAATTAAATTGTTCAGGTTTACATTAGTAGTTCCACAAAGACTTTTTTTGTCAAATGCAGGATCCTGCGATACAGTATGTGAAGATGCCGGAGCTGATTTGATGAAAAAAAAGATTTATATGTAATTTATTTTGTCACTAAAACTTCTCAATTAATTTTCCGGCCATCAATTCTACTGCGGAGTATGTAATAATACCTGTAATATAATGCTAATGGTTGTATCAAAATAATTATGCATATGTATTACATACCTTTGTCTCATAATTATCCTGCTTTGTGAAAATGACACAAAGATTAAGAGTTAGAAAGAGAACTATATAAACATCTATCATGCTTACACTATGGGGTTTGGTTAGAGTGATTGTGTAACTACTCCCTGCGTTTCTCAAAAGAGTCTCTCTTTTAACTTTAAGGGAAAATACAGAAATGTTAAATTGTAGTTAAACAGAGGGAGTATTAAAGAAAAACCCTGAGTACATATATACTCAAAATTTAAATTTAAAAGAAAAACTAAAAAAGATCATCATATCACTGCATAAACAGTAGTTGTTTTTGCACCTTTCTCTCTCCTCCTTCCCACCTTCGCGTTGCCCCAACCATCATCAACATCGATCCTCTTTTCCTCCATCAGCTCTCCCCTCTTTCTGCCTTGCCTTTACCATTTGCACATCTTTTTTGGTTTATTTAGGCCTCGTTTGGTACATGGAATTCAAACTGTGGAATTGGAATTGAGGACTTCAATTCCAATTCTAGTGTTTAGTAGCACAAAAATTATGTGAATTTGGATTTGATAATGCAAAAAAATGAATTGGAATTGACAGAATTCAATTCTATGGAATTGAATCTTATGGAATTCCAATTCCAATTCAATTCCAATTCCGTCAATTCCGTATACCAAACGGATTAGCAAATTAAATTGATTTGAATTTGCTTCTTCTATATGTGCTCTTATTGTTTTAAGTTGTTTTTGTGCTCCATCCACCATAAAAGTTGTTGTAAATATGCAAGGCATTGAGTCCGTTTTAACATTATGCCTTTGCGTGCCATTGTATATTCGCACCTGTGACAATACACATGGGCATCTGTGGAATTATTTTGTAAATTGATAATAAAATTGTATGATTATGAGGTTGGAAAGTTATAGAGTTTCTTAACATTTTGCCTTTTTTGACATTATGAATTGAGATGTGTGATATTTAACATTATACACTGTCATATTTGTCATTATACATATTTGTCATTATACATTTCACATGTATGACTTTATACATTGACATGATTGTCATTGTACGATTAAGTATGGCCTTAAGTGTGATCTTGTTTGACACAATATGGACATTTTAATGTAGCAATGATGACGGCGATGATGGTGGGTATTGATTCAACTTTCACATATTTGTTTATTAAGAATCTTGACAAGTGATGGTTGTTCATCTCTTTTTCATGCTCAGGGGCGTTATTCATAGTCGTTCATACCTTTTTCATCACTCTGAGGTATTATCTCTACTTCTACCTACCCTGATTCATATGACTTACTAGAATTCCCAACTTTTAGCTGAAATTTTGCTTGAAACTTGTCTCAGTTCTTGTCTTTAAGCGGATCAGAGAAGTCAATGAAGCTTCAAGTATCGGATTCTCCGGACAGGGATTGCTATTTTTGTTCGGTACTCGCAGGCCCGTGAGATTTTCACCTCTCTTCTTCAAGGTTTGTATCTTGAAAAAATTGGATCTAATTGCTTTCAGCACTTTAATGCAATTTGGTTCTTGATCGGAGAAATTGTGGGACTATCCGGATGTTTTGTAATACATTCATTGATTATCTTTTGTAGTGTATGTTTGTAGCTGGATTAACATGAAGTTAAAGTAGTTTGAGCTTTTTTCCCCATGTACTTTAATTATGAGAGATATGGATCGTTTGTCCACTTTTATTTTTACACACCATCCAATACACTTCTTTAATCCATTTTATCTTGTAATTTGTATATTAAAAAATTATAGAAATTATATATTACTCCGTAATAATCTATATGTTAAGACAAATCAAACACGATCACACATGACTATATTTAGGCTACACATTGAGAGAATTTGATGAGTTAAAATGTTAAGATGAACAGTTCCAAAAGTCAAAAGTGGACGAATATTGCGGGACGGAAGTAGTATTATTTTGACTTAAATTTTGGCTTAAATGGATGAGAAATTTACCTAAATAGGACTAAAACATAATGACTTTCCCAATATAGGACCATTTGTTTTTATTTCCCAAGGTAGGACTTTTGGTCATTAACAAAGTAGTCATTATTCAAGTAAATGTACTGGACATTATTCCTCCACGAGGTCATTATTTAGTCCTATTTAGGGAATAAAAAAGTTCAAGTCCTACATTAGGAAAGTCATTATGTTTTAGTCCTATTTAGTGCAAATTTCACTAAATGGATTTTACGAAAATACAGAGTACTTTTCTTTTCAAAAAAACTTAGGATAGTCTTGAAAAGCCAAAAGACCCCAATGTTTTGAATGCACTCTTTCTTCTTGGCTTAATAATTTAAGACACATTTTACAGTATATCACCACAACTGGATCAATGCGTGGATATACTTATACGAAATAGTGTTGTGTTCATTTGCATCCAATCAATGTGAGTGGGTAATCTAACTAGTGAATAAAGATTATAACTTGTTTTATGAATGGATATTGAGGCATGTGTTCAACACCACTCGTTTATTGAAGTTTACAGTAATTTTTTTTTGTTTGGATTAATTCGTGTTTGAATCCAATTTGATTCTATTTAGAGGATTTTAAGTTTTGAAGTTCTATTTGATGATATTTTATACCTTTTACTCGTAGTTTAGTCTTTCTCCCTAACTTTTAAAGTTGTGTAGGGTAAAGTATATATTTATATTACTAATAATTCTATTACAATTCTAATATCTATTATTACATAATTTCTTAACCTATTGAAACACCAAGATTTATCACCTCTACTAAAGATTGAACCCGAGACCTCGCATTTGGAAGAGCCACATTCGTGCTTTTGGATCACAAGGTTTTTGGCAGGGTAATTTTTCTTTTTTTTTTTAGAAAAAATAAAAAAGTGCATTCTAAAAAAGAAAACAAGAAGTTAATTATTTAAGGGCAAATAAAAAAGAAATTAATTTTGGCACTGAAAGAGTATGATATAGAGAGTGATACATCAGGCCAGTTCATGTAACATTGAACTCAATGTCATATCATCAAAACTTCATACATAGTTCTGTTGGTAAAATTGATGGTTTCTAACCTCTCTAACCTCCCCTAAACTCCCCTTATCCCATGCCCCCCTTAGCCTATTGGCTATAGTGGTACAAAGGTCACTGTAGCGAATCATGAAAGAGGAAAGGGAGGGGGTTAGGTGGTTTAAGAGGGGATTAGGAGGGGTACGTGGGAACCATCAATTTTATCAATAGAGCCCCATTGGAGGCTCGAATCATGCTATGACATTTAGAACGAATGTCGCATGAACTGTGATGGTGATAGATACGTGCTATAATAGTTCTGCATGAATAAAGATGTTCTTTTTTTTAATTTTCGTGATGACAAAAACTCAACTAATAGGCAGCTACCAGACACGAAATCATACACATACTACAAGAAATATACACAAGTTTCCTCTGGCTCCATACAAACTAACAACAACAAGAAATGTAGAGAGGCTGTTTTTAAGATAAGTTTCCTCAGGTTCCATTCCTCAATTGTCCCATATTATGGTGATGTACTGATGCCGAATTGCATATCAAACACACAAATCAATTTCTTCTTTCATTTTAAACTCAACTGGCTCAAATTCCCATATAGGAGATAGCGGAGAACCACAGCTTGTTGGAGAAGATGGAGGAGATTTCCATGTCAAACAAGATTGAAGCCATTTAGAATCCTCTGCAGTGGGAAGCTCTTCTGGTTCTGGGTAGCCGCAGTGAATGCTCTGTGAAAGATATATGTGATTGAAGATAAATGCTTGATAAACATGATCTAAAAGCTCCAGTGGATTTATAGATGAACGACAAGAACACTCACCTCTTCTGGTTTCATGTCTGAAATTTCAATGGAATCTGAAAAAATAAGAAGAAGAAGAAAGTGTTTTGAGATTTTTCCTAAAGTAACCTTTGCATAAGAAAGGAGACTTTGGATATTTAAATGATGAAAACTTTAGAGTGAAATTAATCACACTATAACAAAAATGAAGGGGACAAAAGAAGAAAAAACGAAATCATAAAGAATAAAATTGCATGCATCTATCACCATGCACTGTGATCCTCTAGCTTTAGATGATTATGAATTTTCACTCCCGGTACTTGATCATTTGGATTCAAAGGAAAAGAATCTGACATTCTTAAGCCAAACTATCTCAAGCTTAATATACAGAGTGTTCATTAAGGATGTTCAGAACTTAATCAACTTGAATAATGTATCGTGTACTCCCTTGGTCCAAAACTTAAGTACAACTTCCAGAGTATATATGTTTAAACATATTTGTCAGTTTAACAAAATGTAACATATAAAACAAAACTTATTTGCCCTCTTTTTTTTAAAAAAAAAAAAATATACTTGAAAGTAGCTCCAATCAATCAACCCGGGCTCTTTTTTTAAGCTAAATGAGTGTGTCATAGACTAATAGTACAACCCCTCACCATTCATAATACATTCATACTCAATCTCTGAGGAGAATATCAATGCAAAATCTAGGGTTTTCAGAAAGAAAATAATACAAAAGTTCCAGCATAAAGAAACCTAGGAACTAATACCATGAATATGATGATGTTTTGCATAAAGAAACCTAGGAGATAAGAGCTGATCACTTCAGAGTATAATGTAATTAAAATCCTGTACAGTTTTGAGTTAACTTGTTGGAGTATTTGATAAACATAACTAATAATGGAAAACTACTCCCTCCAACCAAAAAAGGATCTCCACACTTTCATGGTTGCAAACTCCCAAAATGATAATTCGTGCTCCTTATAAGGAAAGAATTGTGGGGTTCATATTCTTCATCTCTCCCTTGCATAGATTTCAATCACGCAATTTTACTCTTCTAAAATTAGGTTCCATTTTCACATGGCAAGATGAGTTTGGGAGTCGAGACCAAAGTAGTACATCATAACAGTGATTTATCAGAAAACATCATAAAATCAGAAGCATAGTAGATGGAATCATGGAATGTAGATATTACCAAGTTTAGGAAAAGCTATGTCAAAAAGATCCAGAGTCGTTATGGCTTCTTGTGCCTCAATGCACTTCTTGTGGTCATGCAGAATTGTCTCCTCCTCAATGTTAACTTCATCCTCCTTAAAGACAAGTTTCTTCTTATGTGAGACACTTTTCTTCTGCGATGCCTTTGGTTGCACAGCAGACTTGTTTGTGATGTCAAAAAGGGCACCACGGCTCTTTCGCCCTGCACCGCCTTTCTTGACCACTGATTGTTTAGAACTCAAAGATATTTCGCCACCCAGGGGTTCTATTATAAAAAACAAAACAAAAAATCAATAATTTGGTTGAAATTTATTTTTCCCAAAAAAAAAAAGATTAACACCCTCAAAGAATATCCGAAACTACATTGAGAAATAAATAAACCATGATTCAAATGAAAGTTGGAACCAAAAAACTATACTTTTGCAAGAGACATCAAAGTTCTCGTCTTGGAAGATCAGCGGCCTCTGAGCGATATTCTTAGCCATAATTTTCCCTCTTTTGACCGATGAACCCTAATAGATCTTATCTCTGCAGCATTATGATCAAAACATAAAAATCGATCGAATTAAGAGAGTCAGACACGGGATAATGATCAGCAATTAAAAACCACGCATACCACGGAATGAGGGCCTATCTTGGCTTTATCTAGATCTTAAATCCCTTAACCCCAAATAAAGATGTAAACCTAGAAGCTGAAAGATAAGGAAACGTGTACTGAAGAGAAAGAGAGATCTCAGAGCGCGAGAGGGAGAGTGTTTACCAGAAGAAGAAGAAGACGACGACGATGGTGAATTTCAATTTCTGCAGGAGGAAAATGGAGCGATGGATGAAGGGGCGGGCTAGCCGTTTGGGATTTCAATTCTTCTTGTAAAGAAAATGAACGGGTCGGGTAAAATAACTACTCCACTTGGATAGTACTGAATTGTTTTAAGAGTTAAGAGCGTAGGAAAAATGCTACGGATACACCAAATGTGTATCCCATTTGTCTCCCACTTCCTCTTTGTCTCCAAAAAAGACAAGAAATTCGAAAAAAATGAGTAAATAAAAATAAAATAAAAATGAGTGATGGAGAAGGAGGTGGTGTACATTTGGAGTACACCTTTAGTGTATTGCTCATTAAGGGCCTGTTCTTTAGGACTTGAACTCTTAACTTCCAGTTCTTTCCAGTTTCTTCCAGTTCTTTCCAGTTTCTTCCAGTTTCTTCTAATTCTTCCAATTTTTTCCAATTCCTTCCAGTTTCTTCCAGTTTCTTTCCAGTTTCTTTCAGTTTCTTCCAGTTCCTTCCAATTCCTTCCAGTTCCTTCCAATTCCTTCCAATTTCTTCCAGTTTTTTCCAGTTTCTTCTAATTTCTTCCAACTATATTTATTTTCTTCAAATTCTTTCTACCTTTTGACAAATCACTCTAAAAAAATATATTATTATTATAATTATTATTATTATTATTACAATTTTTTTATTTATAATTTTTATGTTCATAACTATAGTTTATAAATTATTTCATTTTTTCATCTCACTATTTTTATGATTCACATTCATTATTTTTTTCTTCAACTTTTTAATATGAATAATACCAGTTCTATGTTTTTATTCAAATAGTAGGGTTACAATGGAAATAAATTGTCAATCCTTAAAGAAAAAATAAGTTTGATTACATTATGTGACATGCCAGATATTTAAAACAAAATCTTATAATGTATAAAATATAATTACAAATATATTATTTTATTATAAATACAGCATAGCCATAATAACTCTTAACTATTTAACATTTTGATATTTATGCTAATTTTATATTCTAATTAATTTTTTAAACTATCTTTTTATGTATGAAAAATATTATTCGTAATATTTTTTTTTATTTTAGAGACAATCATTTGGATAAAATGATAACACCACCACTACCATCACCACCAACAACAACAACAACAACAACAACAACAACAACAACAACAACAACAACAACAATAATAATAATAATAATAATTTATATCAACAAGAATCAGAATGAGAATAATTTAAAACCACACACAAAAATTTTTTAAGAACTTTTTTTAGGTTTTACAATTTATTCTAGTTTTTTCAATTTCTTTTAATTTTTTTTAATTATTTTCAATTTTTTCAGTTTCTTCCAGTTTCTTCCAGTTTCTTCCAGTTCCTTCCAGTCCCTTCCAGTTTCTTCCAGTTTCTTCCAGTTCTTCCAGTTCCTTCCAGTTTCTTCCAGTTTCTTCCAGTTCCTTCCAGTTTCTTCCAGTTTCCAGCTCTTTTTTTCCAGTCCTAAAGAACAGGCCCTAAGTAGGCCCGAAATTTTGTTTAGGAATGGGAAAAATGGAGATTGATTGTGTTTTTCTATAGACCATGGATACCTGAAAAGATTAATTATTAGAAATCACGTGGTTCTAGAGCACTATTGGTACCAAAACCATGTGTTTCGATTCCGGTTTGAGAACTAGTCTTTAATTATTCTTTTTTAAGTTTGCGAGACAGCTACTACATCTAGCTATTTAATTTAACGTTTAACAAGTAATAACTATTCTACAAGTATTTTTCCACATTAGCTATTTTACAAGTAATAACTATAGTTAGATAAGTAATTATCTTCTTTTGCATAAAGAATTCAATTTAACAAAACAAAGAAAATACAAAAAAAAGTTTCAGCGGGCTCTTTTGCCCTGCACCACCTTTCTTGACCACTGATTGTTTAGAACTCAAAAATTTTTCGCCACCCAGATGGTTATATTATGAAAACAAAATTCTTTATAATTGAGAATTTATCATATCTAATCCAAATTTATCAAATATTATATTGACAACCTTATTAATTATGTATCGTTCCACGTTTGGTCTTCCGTCTCAGTGCCGTTAGATAAGGACTAAACGTGTAATAATATCCAATCAATAAAGATCGCAAACATAATATTGTACAAATATGGCACGAAAAGAATACCCTTATTTTAAAAGTATACCCCTTTTATCCATCCTTCAATTGCCCCGTTTGCTCCGTTACTTTCTTCTTCTTCTTCTTCATCTATCTCATTACGGAGTATATATCTTCTTCTTCTTCTACTCCTCCTTTGTCTTCTTGTTCTTCTCTCTTTTTTCTTTAATTATCCTCCTCGGCCCCCATCCAAACCCCACCACCCCCCTTTTTTTACTCTATTATTATTTTACGAACAGGACACTAGAATACCCCGGGTTATCCCATTAGATTGGTTCCCAATGTCATAGGAACCAAAGAGTAAAATTAATTAGGAGTTTTAATTACCACTCTAATTCTAAAAAACACTAATGCCCCACCAAAAAATTACCCCCAAAACCTTTCACATTATTCACTTGGGTAAAAAAAGATTAAAATAGTTTAAATCTTTAATTTAAAATTAGTTTTGATAATCAATTTTTATATAATTTATAAATTTAAAATTGTAACTTCGTTATTTACCAAGCTACTAATTAAATATATGGAGTACGTTGTACTTTTAAATAATAAGGAGAAATTTAACACTATTTTTATCGTTAAAATACATAGTGTTAAATTAAATTTTCATCTTATTATTGTAAATTATTACATACTATTTTTTTCGCATGTTTTTTATAGAACTTTTGATAGTTTTTATATTATGTATTTTTATTTTTTATTTTTATACCAATTTACGGATAAAATCATGTGAAATTTACCCAAAGGAGCACCAAATCATAGTTGTTTTACCTAAATAACACCACTACTAATTGTTTCTCTCACTAGCACTAATTTTCACCCCTAATGCCTAGTAAGCCCTTCCGTAAACCCAGCCCACTAAAAACATTCCTTTTTTTGTTATTTTTTGGAAAACAAATCCTTAATTATCCCTAATTTTCAGGAACAAACTGATTGCCCACTCGTTTCCTCCCTGCAATATTCTTCTTCCGGCTATTCATCGTGCGTCTACTCATCCTGCGCCTCAATCCCCACATTCACTTCGGTTACTGGCGAAATTAATCTCTCAATCGCCACATTCTCTCTCGCCGGATCGATTACCCATCTCTCATGTTTACTTCGTTGCTGAATTCCCTATCCATGCCGGCGCCATCCGTGTTTCGTGTATTGCTGTGCCTGGATGGTGAATGGACGAGTGATGGCACTTTCACTTCTAAAAGTTTTCAAGAACTCATCATCTCATTCGAGAGTTCCTTTCAAATGCTTATTGACGCCGTTCGTTCGCTGATTGGCCAAATTAATGAGTATACTACTTTAAAGATTTCATACAAGTGCAATTTGTCCCCCCACCCAGTTTTGATTGATGATGACAAAAGCTTACATTCATACCTCACCATGAAATCGCAATATTTGGATTTGAATGCTATGCCTATGTGCATTGAGCTTTTCCACAATGACCACGCGGATGTAGGTACGTGCTCTTCTTTTCCAAATGACCAATCGTTGTGTATGACTCCTTCAAGTTTCAATTCACTGTCCGATGAGAGCACTGACCTTGCAAGCGCAGAACGTTCTGTGTCATCGTCACACCAGTCCACTAATCACATACTGGATTCACCTTTGATTAACTGTCCTTCAAGTTCAC